CAACCGCACAGCATAAGCACCACACATTGTGAGTAAGCCTATATTTTAGATCTAAATCTTGTAGATACGTAGTTGCTGGGAGCGGTCTTGTCTCCTGACTCGAAGAAAACATGTAAAGGCCAATACTGAGATGCATATTTTTTTACACTGCTCTATCATGAATAAAAATTCATCCGTTTATTTCAATATAATTGTATGAAAACACTTTATTATTCAGCCTGTCGTGATAACTGTTTTGATGGAACTAGTGTTCCTCTAAAATTTGTTCACTGCGAAAAATTTGTTACAGAATAAATTGTTTTATGTGACATTTTCTTTAGTATAGCCTACTTAAACGTTTATTCTTATAATCTATGTTAGGAATGTAAATTATTATTATTATTTAAATTTATTTTATTGCAGGTTTTGTGTAGTATGCTCTTAAATATTTTATAAGGCTGTACTATTGTAACAGACTGCGCTCATATAAAAAGTCTCGATGATTAGGCCTAATGCAACGAAGTGGCCGTTACCTTAAAGTATATAGTAGGCTGTACGTCACGGGTTAAGGACGGGTAATATCAATAAATGTTTAAGGTTGGATTGTTAAGGCCTATTGGCTCGTCTGGTGGTGACTATACCCAGTTTATGCCATTTATGACGAACCCACTGCTACAGTGACATGAGCAAAGTAATGGATCAACTTGAGAGATCAAAGACCCCTGGACCTTTGGGGAATTGATCGCAGGACCGTCCCAAGACAGCGGCACTCTCTCATCTTCAACATCACTAATTACAATATCATGCACGAATAATTCGAAACAGATGTCCCCTTCCCCTTTACAAGCGTTTAAAACAGTTTTATGGTAAAGATGTTAGCTGACATATTAAAGCACCTTAAACATTGTATGGTTCTTGTAAATGTATATATATATATATATATATATATAGGTATATATAAGCTATAGTCTATATAAAAAATAATATTCAGCAGCATCTGTATCAGTATTTACATATACTTACACTTCCAATTTACACGAGACATTATTAACCTATTTAATTGAAAATAGCACACATCTCTCCATTCTTAGTTTATGGTAAACGCTCTTGATCGTTTAGTACGTAGCCTATACACCACGTCAATACTGCTTCAGAGCAACATCCTGATCTTGCTTAATTTTTGTTTGTTTCGCAGTTCAATTTATATCGATTGCTAACTCCAAGAGACATCCTTCTTTGCCTCCATCAGCTTTTACGTTCAAGACATGTAATCCTCTTCCAGAAGAGGAAGTTATCCTTTCAGCAGTCTGATATTGTTGGATTTAAAAAGAATATGCATAGGCTAATATAGCGTATTTTTGTTTCGTTATGACGTGTGCTTTTCTAAAGTGTGTCTGATTAGTGTTGGGTCACATTATCTTGTAACTGGGGTCTTCTGCAGTTTTTACCCGTTAATTTGATTCACTCGATCCTTTGGCTTGTATCACTTATAGGTAAGCTTTTTTTTTGCGCTTTTATCGTCATATAATGGAGAGGTAAATATTTTGATTTAAATTCTTCATATGTAGAAGACATAGGCTAACTCATACTCAATGACACTTACAGTAGGACTTCGGAGTGGAGCTGAAAATATACAATGATCAGTGGCTGTTGTTATCAGCAAGGTTTTTAATTATTATTTTTTTATGTTGTTGATTAGAGTGAATTAGCCTGTACACTTACATAAAATATATTTATTAGTAAATGTCCCTCTGATTTGTGCCTTGATTCCAGTTCTCCACGGAACCAAGCTGCTGAAGAATAAGCTCACAGTTTGTGAATGGCAAAGCATCTGTCTGGGTGATTAATCGCCCGTACTTTGGCTAAGGTTCAAGACGAGTTCACTGGGCTTTGTGCGTTTTTCTGTAAGCTACCACTGCACACTCCCCTTCCCATTGTTTTTTCCAACTAGTCTCTTTCTTCGTTATTTTTGTTTTTATCATCCCAGTTACGATTAAAAACAAATACAGTGAAATGCCGTTTGCAATTTCAAATACCCACCATTTTCTTATTTTAAATGCTTTTAACTTTTATTTTCCACAAGCATTGACGTCATTGCATTGTTTAAGTGATTTTAAATAGGGATCTTGCTGTACATTCGGGGGGAAAATAATTCAAGGGCATTATTGTTTTGCCCTGATTCGTGATTAACTATTTTGCAAACGTTTTTTTCTGGATGAATGAAGTCTTCCCTTTTCTAATTGCCAAAAGAAAAAAATTATACACCAGCAATACAAAAAAGCAGATGCCTCAGAGAAACTTATACTGTCTAAATAAACCGAGAATAAGAAGTGCACATGGCTCTTTTAATTTTGATACACACAATAGGCTAAATGTGTAGAATTATTTCGACACCCTGAATTCAATTTGTTTTATGGTGTACCTACCAGTTAAAAACAACAAAAAAGTTTTTTAAAGAAAAACATGTTCTCTAACAAGTTAAATGACATTGTATAAGTTTTCTCATGAATCGTTGGATATTTTTAAGCAATTGCTTGTGCATGTAGGCTGTATTCTATTTTTAACATTTTTATGGCCGAGTGTCATTTAAAATTGTTTAAAATAGGCTACATTTTTATATTGCATTTACCCTATTTTGAGTTTGTGATTTGTTCACACTGAATAACACTGGATAGCCTATTTTTTATTTTTATTTTTTTTGCAGCTTATATCATGAAGAAGAAAACAGACCATTTTTTGTCAGCAGCACAGTAAGATATTCTGGTTTCTGGCAGTGCGTACTCCGCAGAAGAGACACTATTCATATCGTTTTTCCTTTTAGTTGCGATGATGGATTCATGTTCCCTGACTCACACCGTGTTGCTCTGACCCTGCAGGTCATCTTCCAGCGGGCCTCCGGAACCATACTGTCACATGACACGAGAGGCCAGAGTTTCGCTAAACCCCACAGAAAGGACCAACATAACTGATGAAAGCCGTCCAGAAAATGCAAATAACGAACAGCAACAAGAACGTCTGCCTCACAATGTCGCGGAATTATTTGTAAAAAAAAAGTCGTTATGCATTTGAACGTAATGACAAAATGCGTCATCCCAAATATATTGGGTCAGCGACCGCAAAAGACTTGTAGTACAGTGAAATGGAATACTGAACGAGATAAAGAAAGAGGACGTTATATCAATGGGAAAATGTACACCATCCTCAATCAAGACAGTACTAACTCATCAGTGTTTCTTCCTGCAAACTATACCGGAGATAACTTAAGGAATCAACAAGTTCACTGTATCACCAGCCCATATTTTATTGGATGAGAGTTCAAGCAAACGCGACAAAGAGGAGCGCGGCGTTATTTGGAGGTGAGTAAAGTAAATAGTTAGAATCTAAATTAAATGACCAGCAGTAACATAAATAATAAAACAATATTAGAATTTTGGCATAAGAATTGTTAGCTAAAATCATATCAATATGTAAAATATGTATTAAAATAATAAAATATTTATTCGATGATGCACATTTTATCTAAATGTAGAGTAATTGGTTTAAATTTGCTTTTTAACAGCGCAGGAGCGACAAGAAACCCCCGTCGGGATTCATTGTATCAAAAAGAGCACGTACTGCTTTATACAAGTGACCAGCTAGTAGAGCCTGAGAAGTTCCACTTCAGCCCATAGCCTATTTGTGCAGGCGGAGACGTATGGAAATGGTCGTTTTACTCAAACTTAAATCTGGTTTCAGAACCGCAGGATGAGACAAAAAAAAAAAAAGACTGTAGGCTGAAAAGAATGTCTCTCTTAGCTGGACCATCTCTGACTAACACCCACCACCACCGTCTTGAGTGAAGCTTCAAGAGATTTATGCATGGCAGTGCCTCAGGTGAAACGTCCTTCCGCAAACATGACTGAAGAAGAATAGCTGTAGTATGTAGTATGAGTATGGCTATCCAGATTAATGGCATTCTCTGTCTCTTCTGGACAATTTCCACATTCTGTCATGTTCCCAGAGCGTAGCCTATAATAAAGTCCCCCTTTAAATGATTAAATGCCACTTTCATATAATATTTCCAAAATGAATGTTTAATGGTAAATAAGCATAGTAGGCTAAAGTACTTGATTGATTGTTAATAAATCAGTAAAATTATTGTGTGAAAATGAATAGCCCTATGAATTTGACATTTAGTGCTTGTTATTTTTATTTAGCCTATTTATTGCTTCTCCCGATGCTAATTTGAAATTATCTAATCAGTTTATCTGTGACCATTTACAACTCTTATTAATAATTTTCTGTATTCGAATGGAGACTGTCTGTCACCTGTATTAAGTAAAATTATGGCTTTAGGTTTAACTAAAAAGTCGAATTAAACTAGACTCGAATCTTTAGATTTTAGGAAATAATCCTATTAGAAACCAAAGACACGTTTCCCAAACTCCCTCTGTGTAGGAGCAAAATATTATAGCATCACACGAACTTATTTTAATGGGAGATTATATCTATAAGCACTATTTTAAAAAGTAGGATGACCCACTATATATCTCGAGAGAGAGAGAGATAAAGCCAATCTCAGGCAATTGGTGTATAGCCTATGGGGGTTCATTCCAGTTAAATTAGGAACTTAGATTTGAAAATAGTACAAGAAACTCTAGAAAACAAAAAACTCAAAAGGCTGACTATTTCAAGTAAATGGTATGTAGGCTAGCCTATGATGAATTTATAAACCCTGTTTATTTATAGCTCGCTACACAACTCCAGTTCTCGCCGCCACGAATACACTATAGGCTAAATCCGTTGTTATAACTGCTGTGCTCGCTTTAATTCACATTAGACCTACATTGCGAGTTTATCAGATTGATGGGTGGATTCGATTGATGTGTTTGTCATGTAAATACGAATCGTTTGATGGACACCTGCAACGCCCAGAGTGCTACCGCAGGTCGCACACTATTGGTGCATAATTAGTCACATGATCTGTCACTTAACTGATATTAGCTTGGATAGAACTTTGTGTGGTTTGACATACAGCTTAGAGGTTGTAGGGGCACTGGGACCACACATCAGCCTATATTGACCCTGCTTAATCAATTTTGCTTGGTCAGTCAACAATGAATTCCTACTTAGATTATACGATTTATAACCGTGGTGCTAACACTTATAGTTCGAAGGTTGGGTGTTTTCCGATGGAGCAAAAATATTCGCCAAATGTTTGTGCAAGTAGTAATAGTTACATTCCCGAGGGACGGCCAGTCGGAGGAAACACTTTTACAACCGCACAGCACGAAGCTCATGGCACAACTTACGAACTTCATTCGCAGCAATACCACATCAACATGGACATGGGGAAAACTGGACACACCAATTTTTGCAAGCAAACTCGACCTCCTCTCTCGGACTATGGACATCAACACGTTCTCACTCAAGCAGATGACCACTTGCGTCTTCAGTCCCCTGCTTTTTCTGTCGTGAACATGGAAACATACAGTGAATCTAACTGCAGGCCTGGCTCGGTTTCTGCAAACCATTATCAGTCATATCCCTATGAAGAACAGGAACCACACGGCTATGGTTCGTTAAGCAAGTACCAGGTCTCCCTTGACGGTGACAGCGACTCCAAGACGAACATCAAACAAGCGCCAACGTTTGACTGGATGAAAGTCAAGAGGAACCCTCCTAAAACAGGTGAGTTAAGGCTAATTACAATGGCTACTGTAAAAATTGAAGTACGTAATATTAAAAATTGTCAATTGAGGTTTCTAATCTAAGTCTTTTTTGTTCATAATTTTGTCTCTTTCAGTTAAAGTCGCCGAATATGGGATCCACGGTCAGCAGAACATAATACGCACCAATTTCACCACCAAGCAGCTCACCGAACTTGAGAAGGAGTTCCACTTCAACAAGTACCTGACCAGGGCGCGCAGAGTGGAAGTGGCCGCCACCCTCGAACTGAACGAAACGCAGGTTAAAATTTGGTTTCAGAATCGCAGAATGAAACAGAAGAAGCGCGAGAAGGAAGGAACAGCCCCGGTAATTAAACGTGTGACTCTTTGCTCTGCTGGTCAAAGCGCAGACAACTCAAACAGCTCATCCCCGGGTGCTTCGCCTACCTCAGACTCTTCCACTGCTATTCGATGACTACTTGCCTTTGTGGCAAACGAACTTACATTTCAACGTTGTGCTGTGGAGAACTTCTTAACTTATTCTGCTGTCTTAGACAAAGCATAAAATATGCGCTAGCATGTGCATGCGTTTTATATATAACGCAAAATACTCAATTTTGCTGCATTAGAGCTACCGAATTCATGGTTCAAAATGCATTAACAGGGTATATGCTTAATAGTCCAAAGCAAGACGTTTAAATGTTATTTTTTTTCTGTCATCAGGTTGATATCCTTTTTTGCACTACTGATTCATTCTTTTGTTGAAAGAGTAAAAAAATGTAGAAAAGACTGACATGTTTATGTATTTAGAAAACAATCTGGCCAGTGACTTTCTGATAATTAAATACATTTTATTTTTCTCAAACATGTTTGTGGATTTAATCCAATTTAAATCAATTTATTGATTTTCTTTTAATTAAAAGGCTCTTCATGATGTTGGTATGATTGTGTCCTTTGTCAGAGGATGTTGCAATACAATGGAGCTCATTTAAATCAGTGTTGCTCTAGTCTGTATAGTTTGACAAGAGGAATGTTGCATTACACACCAGGTGGCTTCCTATGACCTTTTCACCTTTTTGTGCCTACAGGCTCTCTAAACATGTAAACACTCCTTGGTGCTCAGTATAACACTCACTGACTAGATTTGAGGTTTCAATCCTACTTGGCACAGCACAATGATACTGCAGGTTAAGAAAGGATAAAACCCTTTCTAACTCTTTCTAACAAGATAATTTATAAGGCCCCATGCATTTCATTTGTACATTTCTTAACCAAGGCCATAAAGAAGAGTGATAGATATTGAAACAAATTCTGTAGATTATAATAATGCACTAAGAAATAAAACAAATGGCCTTTGTTTGCATAAACAGTTTACTGTAAATCTGTGTATTTTTTCATTTAATATTTTTTTGGGGCATCAGATTAAAATGTATGCGAAGAGGAGCAATTACAGGGGGAAAAAATGTTTAACCTTAGATACTATCTCCATTTGCCTCAATTCTTCTAGAAAGTTTGCAAGGTTTCATTTCCCTGATCATCTGATGGACTGCTCCAATATTTACCCAGGGTGTTGGGTTTGCACAGTATTTGCCCCAGCAGCCACGCACTGTCAGCACCCTCTCCACTGACCAGGTTCACTCAGAGTTCAGGCCTAAATTAATACACAAAAGCCATGGGCCTGTCCAGCAGGGGATGAGAGGTCAATCAGAGTGTTATCTCTCTCAAAAATGAATTATCTACCACAAACTAAAAATTGAATTGAATGTCTAGTAAAAATAGACAATAATACATTTTAAATGAATTAATTAAATTAAACTGCTATTGAGGTTTAGATATTAGTTCAACTGAAAATTTCACTTAAATAAAGGTGAAATCATGACAAACTGGCGAAACCTGCATACATTTAATTTTACTATTATGCTTTAAGCTATATTGTAGTATGCCCAGTTTGAGTTAAATCCATCCCAAGACAGTCCAACTAACTAAATGACAAACACTGGTGGTAAGGACATGCTGCTGAATAAAAACATCTTTATTTAAGTATGAAAATTCATAAATACGCCACAATGACACAAACATCAATGTTGAAACGGCCATGCAAATTACACTTCAGAAATCCAATTCAAATATATCAGTTGATTAGCCAGAAGGGGAAAAAAGCTACAATGTTGCATGTTTACTTAAAGTTATTAAGTATCTAGTATTTGTTGCTTGCTCTTTTGGGTTGTGTGGCTCTGGGCTCCTATGGGTCTCCCATCTGTGGGCATCAGTGGAAGAGCTACAGTGCTGCAGAGACAGATGTTCAGTCAGCCTGGAGGAGGAGGCTGTTTTTCACCAGATTGTCAGTGTGCAGAAAAGGCTCACACTGCAGAATGTGGGGCAAGAGGAGCATCTGAGAATTAAGAGAAGATAAAAATAGCATCCTCAAACAATAATGCGTATAAAGAAATAGGCTATGTGTGGAAAGACGCGGAGAGAGAAAATAAATGTGCATCTGTGAAAGAGGCAGTCAGCAATAGTCATCAGAAAGTCGGTAATTTTGTGAAATAGTGGAGTGACTGTTTTTAAGATTACATTGGGTAAGATTAGCACATATTTCAAAAAAGGTGCACTATACATACTGATAAATGATGCCACAGTATTGCATATCACTTTGCTGGCAAAAATTACTTGATGGATTTGATCATTTTGTGGAAAATTGTATAGATATTTAAATCTCCCTGCAAGGACAATATATACTACAATTCAAAAGTTTAAGGTCAGGAAGTTTTTTTTTTAAAGACTAATACTTTCATTCAGCAAGGATGCATTAAATTGATGAAAAGTGACAGTAAAGACATTTATAATATTACAAATGATGTCTATTTCAAATAAATGTTTTTTTAAACTTCTAATTCATCCTGAATCCTGAAAAAAAAATCCTGCACAACTGTTTTCAACATTGATAATAATAAAAAATGTATCTTGAGCACAAAATCAGCATATTAGAATGATTTCTGAAGGATCATGTGACAGTGAAGACTGGATTAAAGGCTGCTGAAAACTGAGTGTTGCCATCACATGAATAAATTATATTTCACAATTTATTAAAAACAACAACAGTTACCTCCAGTATTTAATAAAATGCAATGGGCAAAAAAGGAGAAATTTCATGTTAAAAATTCAATGACAAAAATCATATTGACAGGTACACCGCCTTTGCTGTCAGGTCACTTTTTAAGGTGATGTTTAGGGCAGATCTGAAGCTTGCAAGGTATATACTCTCCCTGCTGGGTGTGCTTGTCAGAGGGTCTTTTACAAATCAAATGCCTGGCTTGACTTCCTGAGTCTTGTTCAAGTCCCTCTGAAGCATGTCACTCTGCTGGGGTGCATGACCTCAAAGAGATAAAAGAATACTGTATACACTATTCATGGGCTTGAAACAGGGGTCAGGGGGTCATTTTATATGTCTTCTTGTCTTTCACAGACATACAGTCAACAGCTAAGACAGTGGCCACATGCAGATAGCCACCTCCTCTCGCTGAAAACAGGAAGAACAGGAAGCCTTCCTCTTGTGCTCTCCACACAGACCCGTATGACCCTCCCCCTCTCGCTCAATCGTATCCATGTCCTCGCGAGGCCATATAATCAGTCCACCGCCTTATAAGCTGAGTAACCGAGAGGGAAAGCTTCAAAGACCCTGCAGCACACGAGCTGGGCTGTTGCCAGCAAGCAACCAACAGATATTGGCTTAGGCAGTGTAAAAACAAACATGTGCAAGATTTTTTTTTTATAGCATAACACTGATTAGATTATGAGAGAGAAGTGAAGTTATTGCACCTGCTCAGAGAGGGCGAGTTGGAAAATTGCCAGTTACTCTCAAAACCAACACTACAGTGTTTTTGTCATAACCGAATTGACAAATTTCCTGCATGTGGTTTTGTTTGTAGGGATCTTAAAGGTTGGCAAAGTGTAACCGGTGCTCCGTCACTCATATGATTTAGAGAGGCAAGTAGTGCGCGCCAGAGGGAGACAAATGAAAGCTGACAGTTCATTTTATCAGTGACTGATCGTTGATCTCATGGACTGCCTCCCTGGTCTCTTTTAGAAGGCGGTGAAGGTTGAATATTAGTGGATACTGATACAACCAACCGCCCCCTTCAGAATCCCAAAGGCTTTATATTCCAGCCAGCAGAATATGAGTGCAGCATGACACACTGAAGCTACAAAAGCAAAGTATCAGATTTCAGTAATAAAATTAACATGATATTATTTGATTCATATTTTTCCTTCCCACAGCTAAATCAGTTAAACAATTTGAAAGTTTGTGTTTGTGGCTTCATGAGGAAAATATTGACTGTAATTATGTTTAAAAGGGATAGTTCACACAAAAATGAAAGTTCTGTCAATATTTACTCATCTTCATGTTGTTCCAAACCAGTATGACTTTATTTGTTCTTTTCAACACAAAAGAAAAAAAATAGAATGTTTTAACTTGTTTTTGACCATGCAATGAAAGTAAATGGGGTCCAAAACAGCATCGGACAGCATGGGGATGTTCATTGTGTGGAAAAAACAACCCTGGAATTTTTTCCAAAATATATATTTTTCTTTTTTTTAAATTCCACAGAAAATAAGAAATGCATGCAGGTTTAGAACAACATAAGGATGACTTTTTTGGGGTGAACTAACCCTTTAAGCATATGCACATGAATAGAGGTTTCTCTGAAAAATTCTCATTTCAAACTTTTTCGGCTCAGAGGTTCCCAGAACTATCCATTTCAACAGTTTCAATTGGTCCTATACAATTTAGCCACTAGCATAAGAGAAAACTAAGAACTGAATTTATTCTCAAGAGCTAGTGAAAACTGTTCCTCTAAGTTCACCATGATTGATATGTGGGTGTTGACATACACTGATACCATGGAAACTCTTTCACAAACGATCATACTTTCCCCCCATCTACTTTGGAAAAATTTACCACACAGGTCCTTAAACACCCACAAAAACAGCTTCTAAGTGCTGCCTGCCTGAAGTGTCTTGTGCATGTGTGGGGAGGTTAATTAGCAGCAAGGAGCAGAACTGAGTTCAAAGGGTCAATCCAGCGACAGAGATGAGCCCAAGGCTTTGCACGGGCAGAAATGTTTTCATACCATTTAACAGGAAAGGCATTATAAGCCAATTGATAGTAATTGAATCTCATAATGGAAAAGACGACAAACTCTGAAACTGTTCCAGTGCCTTCATATTGACCCCTGGTCTCTAGAGGGGTGTGTGACCATGTTGGAGTGTGATTTCTGTCAGGTCGGGGCAGTTGAGGGGGGGGGGGGCTCTCAGATGACAGTTCTGCCCCTCCCCCAAGTGAAACGCAAATGAAAAGGAATGCAGAGATAAAAAGCCTGTGTCCCCAGATAAGGGGACAGAAGAAAGGAGTAGGCGAATGCTAAAAGAGCTCTCTTGGGGAGATGCGAGGAGCTGATGGCAGTGTTGGTGGTAGGAGATCATAGCAGGTTCCTCTCATCAGCCTAGGCCTGTGTTTGATACTGGGTCTTTGTCGCTCTTTCAGCAGTGCATTGTTGGGAGGTGTAATCCTGGGCGGATTACAAAGGCAAGATCCTTTCATATGGCTGTGCCCAGCAGGCAGGAGGCAGTACTCATGTTGGAGTGGAGGGCCACGCTCATTCCTCTATCTACCTTCACAACGGGGCCATAGCTGCAGGGACAGTGACGCAGGGGTCATTCGGTCATGTCCTCTCCTTGGAAATCCGCTCCCCCTTTTACATTCAGATGTTTTTCTTTCATGATCTCCCTCCACCCTGTACCTGTGCACAACGTCTTACACCCAACTAACTGACAAATACCACAAAATACTGAATATGAGCTCTAACATTTAGAGCCACACATTGAATTAAATCTTCCACAAAGTTTTTTTTTTTTTTTTTTACTATATTATCGGTGATGCTGTACAGTAGATTTTGCTTTGAACAAACTCCAAACGCTATTAAATGAAACCCGAAGTATTATGTACATAACTCTCCCTGTGTGCCATCTGCAAAAATGATACCTTAAATTGTGTGGCTTGTTTGTATTTGTTAGTAAAACTGTACTTTTCCAAACAGCTAGACGGATGATAAAAGGTGGGATTAGAAGGTGGAAAATAGAGTTTTACTGAAGGATAAACGAAAGCCAAAAGGGAAAAGAAAATCATGTGATTTTATATTGACTTGAGTGAGCTGTTTTGAAATGGCCAGAAAGCGACCAGCAAGCAATGCCACAGCAACCAAACAGCAATGTTCTGGAAACAGCCCACAACACCATACCATCGTGACAACGACTTTTTTCATAGGCAATCATCATTAAAAAAATAAAAAATAAAAATCTAGTAGGCTATTGCATTAGGTCTTCAAGGCAAGGCTTGTGTTAGTGTATGTGTAATGTATAAAGGTCCCTAGGGTAAAATATTCATTTGATTTGTTTTTTCTCCAAACACGTTAAATAACAGGAAAATACACAATAGTACTTTCTTAAACACTTGTTTGTTGTTATGCAAAATGCAAAATGAACCATAAAGTCACCATGTGCAATGATGATTTTGATTAAATTAGATCTAACATGTAGGCTAATCATTTTTTGACTGCACACTTATTTAGCTAATGAGAATCTCTTAAATTATCATATATATTTTGAGACAAAAAAAAACTGTTTAGGATTTTTATATTTGGGCTAAAAGCCCCCTTGTTAAAGAGGCCTCCTTAAAATGTAAAAAGTTACATTGTTTTTCTTTTAACCATCTTTTTAAAATTCCTTAATTCTCTCTTCTCTTTACACACACACACACACACACACACACACACACACATATATATATATATATATATAACCCTAAACGTAATTGAAATAAAATGTCCTTGCTCTGATTAAATTCAGTTATTAATGTAATAACTTTAATGTAAAGACTGAGATTGTGCTGCCCCAATGTGATGCAGTCCTTCGTCTTTCACATGCATTAAGTGCTCTCTCAGCATCAAACTGCTGATCCAGAAACTTTGCAAACAATTGTGAAAGGTAAGGAAAAGCTTTTGTGATATGATGCAAATGAATCAGAGAGACTGCACGGCATGAACAAGAGTCATTCGACTGAGGAAGTGTAGGGCAGACCGGGGTGTTATACAAGACAAAACTGTTTACAATCAACAGTTTAACCAACAAAAATGAGCTGCAGGGGTAAATCTTATCACAATAAAAATATTAATTAATATTAATTAAAATATAAATGTTTTTCTCAGTGTCAGGGTAGCGAGGTAGATTATAGTGACAACAGCACTATTTAATACTAATTCATACAGTTCAGGGTGAGTAGTAGATTTATAAAGTACTTTAATAAGTTGCTCACAAATATCAACGTTACCGGTCGCCATGGGGCAGATGTGTTACGATGGGCTTGTCCAATTTTAAAAACAGTGAAGTCGTAAACATTAGCATAAAATGCTAATATTTCAGTAGACGCACGTGACCCGAGCAACACAACGATCATTTAAACAAACTAACATCCGTAGGCCTATACCTTCTATAAACATTTTGAGTCTTTCAACGTGGAGATATCATGGCCACTACTTGCACATTAGACCGCTGATGGTGAAGTCATGATCGATGGTCATGATAAGAGAAGTGGTTAGGGCAAACAATATGATTTTTTAAAAAGTGCAGCGGTTTTGATCTCGGCCGTTGCTGTCAAATCGTTGCAAACGACAACACTTAAAGCGATGATAGCAAATTGAAAACGGCGTACTCAATTGTATTTTAAATGGGTGGATGGTGAAAATAAAATAAAATATGGTGGCAAAGGCACATTCAGTAGTAATATTTTTAAAATTAATTTGACATTAATTTAAGCCTCATTTCATTGTGTCACAAAGTAGTTCGCCTACATCTCTTTAGGCTCGCTTCATTTTCAGAGCAATGTGCTTTGCACTTCCTCTTCTTCTTTCCTCCGCGAACCATGTGTGTGTGTGGATATCTCTTTCGATTCCTTTTTATTTTACACTTTTAATTCATGCTGTGGGGTAACAAGTGACCAACAAGTTCATTCAGAATTTCTTTGACCTTTAATCGTTGACATCAGCATATTTTATTAGGCTTTATTTCTGTTGGAGTCTTACTCACAGAGTAAGAGATGGGGACGGTCGTTGATGACATCAGACAGCTATTAAAAGGTATTCTCCATTGTTTCATTATTGATTGATTTTTGTGCTCTTTCAATATGCATAAACTATATATGTATGGCCTACCTATTTTTGTATGATTGTAGTTGGTCATTTTGTTTTTATTAAGGTAACTTTTGACATTTGAAAAATGTGTCAACCTGACTTGAAAGATTGCTTGTGATTCAATTACATGCTAAATTACTTTTAATGAAAATTCAAAAAACTTTTATTTTTTTCCCGGAAGAATTGGGAGTGTCTGCAATTGATGTGCTTTCACAAGTTAGAGTTAGTTTTCTAATTCATTGTAAACATACTCTGGTTTAAGCTCTTTAACCTTGACTACAGACTATTTTATGATTTCATTAGTTTTATTTTCTCTTTTAATTATTCTGCTTTGCTGTGTTTACCCTATACAAAATGGCACTTCACGAATGATGCCATCGTGAGATGTTATCTCTGTTCTGACACACAGACAGAATGACTATTGTCATTTGCACATTCTGGCTTCTATGGAACTTGCACGAATAGAACAATCCTTTGCATATTTCAAAACATGTATGCTCTATTGAGTAGCAACTCCACATGAGTTAACAATCAGATTTTTCTCTTTCCACATGTTAAAATACAACATAAAAGTTTTTACATGTTTACTATGTTAGTTCTGGAGCAAAAACAGTTTACAATGGCATTTTTTCATTATTGTTTGCTCATGTTTGTATCTTAAAAAGCAGACTAATGTAACATACTTTACTGAGGTTGTTTTCTTTTTTTATTCTTTTTTTAATTTAAATTTTTTTCAGACTGTGAGCTGTTTGTTTTTGAGATACTCCAGGATGAGAATCTCAGTGAACCTGCTCAAGAGGCCAGGGAAATTCTCCTACGAAATTTTCATATCATCCAAAAGAGGTGAGGGATGTCACAGTATGATTTATTCATGTGCGACTATTAGAGCTGACACATACTTGTTCCTCCTTGTTTGTACTGCACACTGAATACCATAAAAAGTAAATTTTTAGGAGCAAATTATTTGCAGCTTGAGAATTTGTGCTCCCAGTTGAGCTACAAATGAAACACAACAGTTAAACAGACAGGAAGCAAATTGCACAGCTCTTCTATTGTTGTCTTTTTAGAAGCAAGGAGTACAATTACAGCGCTTGCCGGCTGGAGTGGTTTTTGTGGTTTGCTGTGCTGAAACAAGGTGTTTGCAAAGAGAAAAAGCATACTTTTTTTCAGCACTGGGTTACATGAATACTTAGCTGTCATTGCATCATTTGCAAACGCTGCAGTGCACTGCTTCACAGATGCATGTGTTTACAGATACTCAAGCTGCTATCAATCTAACGCCTCTTCGATTCTTTAAGAATTTGTAGTACCGCTTTCATTGCAGATCAGAAATGTTTAGCTACTGTGACTAATAAAGACAGTGGAACAATACAAACTATTTTTATGAACCTCAGTTATATCTGATTATAAGCATTGTACAGTAATCCTTTTTTTTTTTTTGAACATTGCAAAGTCCATTTGGTTAGAAGGTTATTTTATCCATTACAAAATGTTCTTCTCTAAAAGCATTTTTAAATCCTCTTTTTTTGCAGATACCCACAAGAATTCCCCCACAGATGTAAGTGAACAGCTGTTTCATGATTCTAATTAATTGCCCACAGAGATTTCCGTTCCGATTCTGTCTTTCCCGGAACAATGGTTCTTTAGAAAAAAAGTCGGTTTTACAAAAATGATTCGATTTTCCTCCCACAGCATTTTCATTTTATGTATGTCTGTCGAATTAACTCAACAAAGTTTCTACTTTTATAAAGTTCTTGCTTTTTTGTTTTTATTTTTTATCCTAGTTGAATCCAATCTTGAGGATAGTTCAGATGACAACCGCAGCTCCAGTCTGGGACGCTCTGCCCCCTCAGATGACATGTCAGTGGCCTCTGACTACCAGGAGGAAGGTGCTTCTGAACGTGAGTTCAAGCCACTCTTTGTGCAGATGAGTGTGTTTACTCGTATGTCTAATGCATGTAAGCTGTGATAGGTAGAGACAGGAAACTTATCTAAAGCATATTTAGCACATTTCTTGTTGTGGGGGTTTCACTGGTAGTGATGAAATACCCCAGTGGAGGTGTTTGGTAACAGATCCCCCTCTAGTGGATTCCCACAACTCTGCTGCTGGCATTGAGGAGTGTGTGGAGGGGGAATGGGAGGGTGGTCTTTACCCTTCATACAAAAGAGATGAAGCACTCCCTCTAGTGGCAGGCGAGCGGGATGTTTGGGCAATGTGTGCTGCTGAGGTTCTTGGGGTTAAGCCGTGGCATGTTTGCCTGTGTTTAACAATGGTGTGGAAATGTTAGCTTTCTTGTCCTTCTGACAGCAAGTATATTTACACTTGTATAGCCTACTACAATTTGAAAAATGCAAACTGGAACAAAATTCAAAGTTTAAAGAGAGAGAAAAACAGTATGTACTGCAGATTGAAAATGGCTCGTCAAAATCTGTATTTTGTCTTTGTTAATTGTTTTTTTTACTAATGTGAGCAGTTTGCTGTTGCTTCGGGCCAGATCTGTGACTGATCATCCCCGGCTCCTCTGTAACCAGCTGGTCTTGAAACTCAACCCTGTACCTGAGGGGCGTTTTATCCATTTTCTCTTCTTTATCACTCACCATACAACTGACAATTTTCTCAGAGGGATCAAAAGCCTGCAGCTTTGCAGAAAAGAGCTAAAAGAAAAGAATTAAGGGATATTCAAGTCAATAACATTGATCTGTAGTGACCAGCTCAGAGATGATATTGTAATCCGATAAAGAGATGATGATACTGTAATCCTCTCTCTTTTTTTTGCTAGATTTTTACTTCATAGAACTATTTTCTTCTTTTAACAGTTTTCCAGATTGAACAGAAAAAAAAATGTCAGGCTACACAATTGCCATTTTGTGAAAACCATAAATTATTGTTTTTATCTTGAATACGCCTTCTTGTTCACTGACACAAAACTTCTCACCACTGACCACTCTGGTAAAAATGAAAACTCCATCGTTCCATTTATTTTATATGTTGTTTGTAATTTAGCAACAAAAGGGGTCAAACCTGGATGTGCTCCTTTGATTCGCTTCTTTGCCGGAAAAGGCATATAAGTCAAAGAGGAGTAACTCGAAGAAGATTCGCATCATGTCGCTCTTTCAATAAAGATAATGACCAACAAGGGCAAGTGCAGTTCAGGGTTCATGTTTAGTTCACCAGTTGGGAATCTCACATCAAACCCTATGAGAGGGCATTTGGAATTTGAGCGGGAGAGCATTTCGGAGCATATGAAATTAGAGAGAGGAATATACCGTAATCATGAAGATTAAGATTCAAATGTGCACCTTTTCCAGCAATTCAGATTTAGTTTGTTTTCTCATTTGCTTTTTATTCAATAAGGATGCTCCATGCTGAGCCCTTTTTTTGCTTAGCTCGAGTGAATGAAAAACAAAATGCATATGTGATATGAATGAGCTGGTGCCCTTGCATGTGTAAACCCCTCTCTCCCGAGTCCTCACCGCCACACCTCGTTCCGACTGGGTCTCGAACCCTGGTCTCCGGCATGGGAGGCGGATGCACTAACAAGGACGCTAAAGACTGCAGCCTCTAGTGTGAGGTTTACCTGCACAGCACCTACTCGCTGACCTCCGTTACACATGCTGATATTTTCAAATTTACCCTGTTGTAGCGGAGGGTAAATATAGTTCAGGTATTCAATGCTTGCACCGTTACTCGCGCCGTGATGTCACATGCTCGCCTGTGTGAGGAAGGGAAATTTACTGTGTCTGCTTGTGCTCTAACCTGACTGGAGGATGAGGCAGCCGTTGACTCGTCGATGGGAGGAGTCAGTGTTATTTCATTTAGCCAGCGCTGCTTCCCTGTCTCCAGAGGGAGGTTTGACACTAGATTTGTTATAGCTGACAGGAACAGATGGGTGCTCTGTTGTCAGGGCCCCTGTCTGTATGGTAATGTGAACTGAGTTTCACCCGCAGACCGCACGGTTGACCCCACCGTGCCTGCAGCCTCGTCTGGATGACAGCAGCCCTGCAGCTGAGGATGGGAAGCCCAGGGCAGAGGGAGCCTCACAGTGGGGTGGATATTTTGCCAGGTCAAGTTTAGGAAATGCAAAAGTTGTAAAAAAACAAAACAACAACAAAAACATTCTTATTGCTTTGAATGGGCTGAGTAGATATTTGCTTGGGTTGATTGCTAAAATGATAAAAATATTGCAGACAAGACAACACACCAATCATTTGATTTCAGTAATAACAAATAGAGCAGAAAAGGTGTATGGTTTTTTCATTCTGATAGGAGTTTGTGTGTTTAAGAGGCTAATATCAATGCATGTCCTATCAAAGGCTGCACATGCTCTGGGCTCTTTGTGTGCACTGATTTGATTTATGTTCAGAAACAAAAGCCCCTCTCGTTCCTGTTATCTTACCCCACCACAGCTCTACAGGCAAAGCTGGAGAAGCCAATCAGAAAGGCCAAGGATTCAGAGTTAAGTTGTTTCTTTATCGCAAATTAGATCATCAAGATGTAAATTTGATTTTTTTCTCAAGATCTTAGAGCCTCTAAATTAATGGTTGTGTTGGTTAGGAAATTGATTGTTGTAATGAATCTCTGGAGAGTCCAAAAAGAGCTTGCATCAATGAAAAATGCATTTTAGCTTGGCAATTAAGAAACCCTTTAGTTTAGCAACCTAAATTGACCAGCTTAACATGCAAATCTCATTTTCGTCACCATCACGGTTACTGTCAAGGATTTCAGCAGAGCTCTGTCCTGCAACCTCATCTTGTCATATTTATCCTAATGCAGTGGCATGTGGCCACACCGAGGTCGAGGTGAAGTCATGTGATCATCAACAGTCGTCGTCAGCTGGTACTCATCCACGTAGCCTCTTAACTTCATACGTTTACTGTGAGTGCTTCTTCCTCCCTACAGTAAACTTTTGACCCCTGGGTCTTATTCTGGTCATTTCGTGACCTGTCTGAACTCTGTCTAGGGCAACTGAGTCTACATTATTGACCTCAGCTGCCATAGCAACAGCACAGTTCAAATAAAGTTTCACTGGCTCGGACAGGATTTGGATCCCATTTTTCAAAACCATTTTTGCCCCCCAAAAGCTTCCATCCATTCTAGTAATCGTCCATTAATTTCCTCCAATCGCGATTAATATTCCGATGCGGTTTTGTGAAGTTAGAAAGAGTAAAGTATACGGCATTGGCAGGCTTCATAGGGCACGTTAAATGACTTTGGCAAAGATGACACCATCTTTCCTATGCGCTGTCGTTTTCCCATCCTCTGTTTCCCTTCGCATTAATTAATTGAAATTGACACATATTAGACCGGAGCATCCTCAGTGCATCGCTGCTTCTGCCATACAGGGTTCAAAAGTTCACTTCACTCTCAGAAGGCTACGATGCTGCAGAAATTGCTAATATTTGCTCTCGCTCCATCTCTCGCTCATTTGTAATTTCACTGTTTCACCCAAACACGCTCTCACTTTGCCTCCTGCCCAGTATACTGATCATTCGGAAGAGATTTTCAACTGTTAATGTCATATCATTGTCAGTCTATTCATTGTGCAATGATGAGTCAACAGAGCGTACATCACTATATTCATCATGCATTTTCTTTCATTGGTTAGGAAAATATTGCTTCTGTGTTCAATATAATAAGTCTCGGTCTAGTAAAAGTTAGCGTGGGTGAGGAGAGGAAGTTTTTCATGATTTGCAAGGGATGAAATAAGCAGAATAGGAAGTCACAACCTTGAGTGTCTAATCTTCTTTGCAGCCTGTCAGTATTGCAGACAAATGGCAAAACGATTCAATGCTGTGGGTTCAGCTAGAGGTTAGCCTTCCCAGGTACCTCCAGCTCTCTCTCTTTCTATCTCTCTCCTCTCTCCCTTACCCATCTTGCAAATGAGAATTAGATTTTTCTCTCCACTGGATTCCATTTCTGGAGATTGATGAAGTTTCGATGCAAGGCCCAGGTGGCCTGATGCTTTCATTGGGAAACAAATGAAAGCGTGTGTAGGTGTGTTCGCCTGTACACCCACAGGGAAGGAGTGCTGTTCAGATGTCTTCTATGACTTTTTTAGGTTTAGCTAAATGTAGATTTGCTCTTGGCAACTGGTCTTTTGCATTCTTAATATTTACAAATGCTTGTGTTTTACAAGGGTATTTGTGGAGTGTTTTTATGCTAGAAATGAACATTAGCTGGTCAAGAACTTTTTTCGTCTTTATATTTACTGACATAATCCATTTGCCATTTCTGACTCTTTGAGGTCTGTTCTACAGCAGCATTTGGAATGTTTTCACATCTTTAAACTGACCAGACAAACTGTTTTTCCATGAAATGGCTTTCTACCCTATGATTTGTCAGCCTGTGTAGGTATCATTTATCTGTCCAAAATGGAAAATATTATGCTAATTGCCTAATTTACCATATGTTTTAAATTGAGTGTTGAAACATGTAATAATCATAAAAGCGTTTTTCCCCCACATGGTTCTGAATTTGAGTAAGGAGCTTCACGAGTGAGAGGCTATATTTAAGTTTGGGAGATTTCTGGCCTGGTAATGCACATTACTGCAGTGTGTGTGATAAAACACAACCATCGGTAACCACTGAACCAAATAATTTTCATGATAACCGGCAGGGCCATGATATGACAGATTCCAATGTACAACAGAAAAAAATCCTCTTCATGTTATCAGAAGATGAGGATTTTTCCATGATTTTTTGTTACAACAATGCCTGGCTGCAGTCCATAAACATCTTGAGCCAATAAAAACACTTCAAGTTAACTTATCCTATTCTCCTAAATTTGATAGAGTAGCATAAGATGGAAAATTGTCTCCAGATTTGTGTTGTGTATATAATAAATTATTTAAAATAAAGCACACGTTTTATTTTTATAAAGAGGACATTGCTCATATATGG